AAGGGCTGGGGATGAACTAACAAGACCTTGGAAGGATGCAAAGCACAGTTCCCTCCTCCTTTTCTTAAGTTTGGTTTTGTTTTCATTGAAATGCATTCGGCAGGCTAGACACAGGCTTCTACCTGCTTTCTCACTGGCGTGCAGAGACAAGCAGCTCCAGAAAAGAAAAGAAAAAAAAAAGACATTTCAGTCCCCTACTGGAGTTCATTTTTGTCACAATTTGACTATGAACTAACACCTCAAAAGGTACATGCTGTAAGTGTCAACAAAAACAAATACTGCCTCCCACCCACTATAAACTTTATCCAGACCAGCCCATTTAAACTTTGCTTGAAGCTGGCTTTTCAGTTGTGAACAACAGAATGGGAAATTACCAATTATTTGCTTAAAAGTCGACTTCACAAAAGCCGATTTCTATCTACTTCGCTGTTTCTTCACAGTCGATGCAATCATGCAGCTAGGACAGAAGAACTACCCCTTGGAAACATGTTTTTCCATTTTGTGCAATGAGTTCCAGAGGCAGCTAGAGCCCCAGCTCTGGGAGTGCCTCTGGGCAAAAGATAAAGGAGGTTACAGCTAGTGGAAGCAGTAATTAGAGCCAATTACTACGTGACTTATCTGCTTTGTCATTAAAATGCCTGTCAGACCTCCCATTTTTCTAAACAAGAGGAAAAGAAAAAGGTATAGCTTAGTGGGGGAGGAGGGTTAGCCAAAGGGAACGGATTTCTAATGCTGTTCACAAACTCACCCTGTAACCTTAGACAAACACATAGCCTTTTGGCTTCTCAGTGCTCGGCTCACAGTTAAAAACTCTTAACTCTGGGAACTGAAAAGACTGGGGGAAATCACATGGTGCAGTCCCCAGCCCCATTTTTTTTCAAAATGAGACATGAAAGACCCAGAGGCTTTAACTGATATATGTCGTCTGCTTAAGTGCAATGGATTTGACATTGGTCTCATTTTTAGTTTGGCATGAGGTTAACGTAATTATTCCTGTAACATCTCTCTATATGTCCTATATAGGCTAATACTTAATAATCACAAAGCACTTTAAAGATTCTCAGAGAACCTCATAAATATGACATCACCAAAAAGATACTACCACTTTGAATAGATGGGTCTCAAGGGGAGGTAATGGATCTAGCTTTTTAAAGGACTGCCTTGATGCTGAGCATGATAGCTCACACAATCCCAGTACGTGAGAAGCTGAGGCAGAAGGATTGCTGTGAGTTTGAAGCTACCCAGGGCTACATATTGATACCCTGTATCAGAAAAAAAAAAAAAAAAAAAAAGAGGGGAAAAAACGGCTTGAAGAAAGCTTACATTCTGCAAAGCAACAAAAATTAAGAGCAAAACACCATGATGGACCTATCATTTTGAAGAGAAAACTAAGTGAAATCTTGTGTGCAAAATCTGAAATCCTGAAAAGTTGGTCTCTTTGGAAGATGGGTAAAAGGAAGCAGCAGGTTTTTCTTACAAATGCTAGTTTCCTTTTGTCCTTCAAATTATGGTCTGTTCACTAAATACCTGAGACTCATTATCTGTCTTCTGGTCTCCAATCTTTCTTCACTTCACATTCTAACCCATTCAAATTACCCCAGTCTAAATAAGCATCTTTACCTGCTTCTTTGAACACATCATCTGCCTTGCAAACCCTAGCTGTCCTCTGTATTGAATTACTCATTCAGTATTTCAAGGCCATCAATCCACTCTAGGCTTGTTCCCCATCCTTCCCAAGCTTTGTTCCCTTCCTTTCAATACACTTTCTCCTCAAATGCCTGAAACAAAGCCCATCATCCCTGCATCTGATAAGCCATCTCTCTTCACCAGTCCTGAAAACCAACACCTATTTAATATGACTATAGGGATAGAGCTGGTCATATTGAACAGATAGAAGTCTCTTAGAAGTCACCTGATATGCTTCAAGATGACAGCCGAGCTGCCCCTCCCTTCCCCGGGTCTGTCAGGGAGGACAGTACAGGCCCAGGAACAGAATGTAGAGTATTACTGGAGCATTGTGATGAGCACTGTGATGAGCTATGAGAATTAAAGTTGCATTCTTAGTCTTAATAAAGGCTTCAATTTGCATGCCCTCTTCCTTGGCCAACGGAACTTATGCTTGTAGCAATCTCTACCCCAGGTGCTGGAATGTGAGGAAGGGTGAGTCCCTTAGCTGAGGAGGACAATGGTGTCAGGAAGGTTACTCCAAAGAGAAGGTGGTAGTATGTATGAAAGAATCTGTGGTAGTACGTACCCTGGGGGCTGACATTCTTGGGGTGAGGTGCTGCATTTTTAGATCCAACACTAATAACTATACTGACTTTAATTACCTGACAGATATTGAGCTTAAACATAGCATTTTGGAATTCTTAAATCACTCTTATGTACATATGTGTGCTGCACAGACAAAAGCCATTTCTGAAACTTGGTAACTCTAAGAATCACCTGTTACAGATTTGGGAGGGGACATGGGAAAAATTTAATTCCCTAAGAGATAGCCAAAAGTCACTTGAGGCTGGGTCTGGCAACACAGTATTGGTAATAACCTGAACATAACTCTGAGTGAAACAAACATAAAAAAAATCGGCCTATTTTACTGTAAGAATCACAGTATGTACTACCTTTAAAGGAAATCCTGGTCACTAGGGCCAATAATCAATTGCTTCTAAAGTTTTGTCAGGAGCGCATAAGGAAGAATCTGATCTTATGTAAAAAGAGGCAAAATGAGCAGAGCAAAGGGAAAGTTATAGAATATTTGTGTCTTTGGTTTCCATCTACCTGCTATGACTTCTGGATGGTAAGCATTTGCACCAATGGTGGGATGATGGCCCTGCTTAACTTGAATGAATGACAGAGTTGTTGGGAAGCAGGAAATGGGGCTAGATTAGACAGAGACAACCAAAACTAACACAAACACACACAAGGCTTCCTGGTATGTAAATTCTTTTTGAGGTTTTTTTTTCCTGGTATGTAAATTATTTTTGAGGTTAAAGGTCTCCTTTTACAAAATTTAGTATATAACAGATTCAAAAACCAAACTTCTTGACCTCCCAATATTAAACAACTAAATGTGCAAAAGAACCACCATTAACAGGACATCAAAAGCTATACATTTTCTATGAAACAATATGTGCACAGATTTTCAAAGCTGTGAAAATGCAATAAAGAGCACAACACATTTTGGTCACTTTATTAAATGACATTAAATAGTTTAAGTTCCAACTACTAAACAGCACTTTGAATGGTGAAAACACAGCTAGTATACTGTCATACTTGAATGCTTTTCTTTAAAAACACAATTCCAGTCCTTATATATATTACAAAACAGCCTTAAAGAAAGAAATGACATCTTTTCTACAGTACTTAAGATAACACAGAACTGAAAAGCAGTCTAACAGAAACAAAGGCAAGTCTTCACAGCTGTATGATTTCAGCAGCCAAAGCTGGATGATGGACTGAAACATTACTATACAACTGGGACGAAACATATACAATATCACGATACTAAGCAAAAACGCTTTACACCCAAAGAAATAAAACAGGTTACAAAATGTGGAGAATTTAGCAGGCAAAACTGTATTACAAGCAACATTTTAAATTGTCATTTTAAGCCATTGCAACTATTTAAAACATCTAAAACAAATATAAAAATGAGCTTTTTAGTATCTTATTGGTGTGATTTTTGTCTTTAAATATTTGTTAAAACTTGATGTTATACTCAAAGTACATATTATGCAGCTAAAATGTCAAGTGACAAGAGTGTATGCAAAGTGGTCCAAGTATTTCCAAATAATCCTTCTAATTACTATTCTTCAAGTTACAGCGTCATTCACGGTGAAAAAGATTAGAAGGAAAATGTGGAGAATTTAGCAGGCAAAACTGTATTACAAGCAACATTTTAAATCGTCATTTTAAGCCATTGCAACTATTTAAAAACATCTAAAACAAATATAAAAATGAGCTTTTTAGTATTTTATTGATGTGATTTTTGTCTTTAAATATTTGTTAAAAACTTAATGTTATACTCCCTTAATGTATCTTAAAGAAAACAAAAATATGTGATCTGATTAAAACTATTTAGGCAGGAGAGCTACCTATATAAGGTGGTTAGCTGATTAGCAAAGACTTCTGAGGAGGTGGCGTTTGAGATCAGACCTAAATAACAAGGGAACAAAAACACTTTAATGTGCGGGAAAGTAAGAACTAAAAGTGCAAAACCTTAAGATGCCTTGGTATGAATCATGGTAAAATATGGTGAACCAAGTGGGATGAGGAGTGGGAGACATAACCACAGAGGTAAGCAAAGGCCAGCTAATGGGAACCTCCCAGGCTATGGTCAGGAGCTTACAAAGAGAAGTCTTACTGGAGAATTTTAATGGGCTGTGATCTGATTTTTGTTTTTAAAGGATTATTCTGGTGAGTAGAAAATGAATTAAGTGGCAGGAGTGAAAGCAAGCTTTTCTAGTTTGTTGTTGTTGTTGTTGTTGTTGTTGTTGTTCCTGTGATAATACAGTGACCAAAACCAGCTTGGGAAGAAAAGGTAGCACTTCCAGGTAGCTGTCCATCACTGAGGGAAATCAGGGCAGTACCTCAAGCAGGAGCAGAGACAGGGACCATGTAGGAAAGATGCTTATTGGCTTGTACTCTCTGGCTTGCTCATCTTGCTTTCTTATACAGCTGAGGGCACCTGCCTAAGGATGGTACTACTCATAATGGGCTGAATCCTCCCACCACAATCATTAATCAAAATAATTCCCCACAGACATGCTCATAGGCCAATTTGATGGAGGAAATTGCTCAGTTGAGGTTCCCTCTTCCCAGGTGACTGGTTTGTGTCAGGTTAACAATAAGAATCAACAATAAGTATACAAGGTAAAGGGCTTGCACGCTATTACAAATTCCTAAGCAGAATTGGATGGTGTCAGATTTGAGATATATTTTGAAGAAAATATGGAAGGCTAACTATGGGAATAAGTCAGTCTTATTCTTCATCATCACATCTATGTCTTTGAGTAAATAATTAGACCATGTTGAAAATTCTCAGGTCTAGTAAATCAGGTTTAAAGTATTCTGGACTTGTAGAAATACCAACTGATAACAGTTTGCCAGAGCACACTGCTTTCAAATATCTATCTCATAAATCTTGCCTCTTTCATTTCTTCTAAAGTAAACACACATCTGCCCTCCATATTAAATATACTCAATTATATGGCTGGCATAATATCTGAATATGTAGAACTCAGTAGTAGTATTTTACTATGGGAAGCGGGGAGCTGGGTCCACCAAATCGCACCAATTTTTGATCATAAACCCAGGGTATTGATTATTTACCACTAGAGTTCTTCCAAGATAAAAATGGAAATCTTTCGTCATCCAAACAACTCAAAATCGTTTTAGTCCATGTTAAATTCAACTGAATCTTGTGATACCTAGTCAAATCTCCAACCAGCTTTTTTCTTTTAGCTGTTTCTAGTACCTATTACATCACCATCTCAAAAATAGTTTTGCCATGATGAGATGACTCCTATGATCAAAAGCAAGGTTTATACTGGGGAAACTCAAGCAACCAAACTGAACATGGATAAAATCCTATAATTATTTTTTTACAAATGTGAGTTAAGAAAAAAAGTCAATAATTTTCTAGTAAACATCTCTTACAAGGGTATTGGGTGAACTGACTAGGGAAAATCACCCCAGAGATCAAAACTGGGAAAAAAAATCAAACTTGAAAACTATTAAAATGTAAAGAAATTGGGGAAAGAATCACGGCAATGAGAAAAAAGAGCGTAAAAGCCAGTGATCCTTATCGTTAAGAGGACTATTTCACAATACTGACAGTACTGTGAACTTAAATGTCAGCAATGGTTCTGCCATTTTGATATTGTTTATAAAACAGGGTGTCAGCCTAACAACCACAATTTCAACACTAACCTCTTAAAAACTTGATTTTCTGCGTCCACATCCCACTGCCAGCAACAGGATGAAGCACTAGCACTGGCACAATGCAGGTGAGAGATGTGCTTTCTACTAGTGCCAGGAGAGAGAAAATTCATGTGCGGAAGAAAAATCTACAACCCTGAAATCTTACCAGTAATTATTTCAGCACATACAACTGAGAATAAAAATGGCAGAAAGACTAAAGAAGGAAAAGGACTTTTCTCTTCTTAGACTGTACCTAAGGCTGTTTATACAATGCTAAGATAACTGCAAGACTCCTCTAGCTTTAGAGAGTAGTACTACTGAAGAATATTGCACGCACTTCTGTATCAAAGATAACCCTTAGTTTCTAACTTTCAATCACAGAGATGATAGAGCAGGAACCCAGTTTCAGATTCAGTCAAAAGAACGTTAAGACCATTTCAATCACTCTAATCGGGAAATGGATTAAGTACAAAAGCATTTTCTAACTTGAGGAATCAACTCTAAGAACTCAGCTGTGTATTTTTATCTGTAAAGAGCGAATATATAAATCTTTATTTCTAAATTCATTAATTTTATGACAATTTTACGGTTGCTAAAAGCAGGCATAAAAATTTAGAGAGGAAATCTGTGGAGCTCTTACTGTTATGGAAGGACTTGTTTTCACTGAAAACAATTTGAAATATCTTCTGTACTCAATGTGTGTAAGAAGATTCTAGGCAACATCACTGACAAATGTCAGGGAGAAATGGTATGCCCTATTTAAAAAAATTTTAAACTAATATGGAAGATTGGCTTTTAAGGGGTCCAAACTATTTATACAGTTGAGTTCTGTTAAGTCATGATTCCTAAAAAAATAAAAGATCTTTCTATGATTTTAATAATCCTTTAAATTTTTAGTGCAAAATCACATTGATTTCCCTTGGGAAGGTCCTGGATTTTTGCTTCTCATTGGGGGTGGTGCACGCTGTAAGGGTGGTGGCTGCATACCACCAGCCACTGACTGATACATTCCTCTCATATCAATCTGCTGGTAGTTAGAAGGAGTCATGATTAAATTTGGAGGCTTTGGCATCATGAGGTGACCCAGTGTTGCTTGCTGATAAGTCAGTTGTTGTTGTTGCTGCTGATTGTACTGCTGCTGGAGCCTTCTGTTCATAAGTATTCGCTGAACACAGTTGATTAACTAGAGAGAAAAAGGGGAGCTGTTACAAGTGTATGACCCATCTCAAAGAGGCAAGTATCAAGTTTTAACTTAAAATCAATTTGTTAAGGGGGTACCATACCAAAAGGAAAACACATTATTGTTATCACCATTACTAATTTGATGGCATTCACAGGACCATTACTGTAGAAACCAGTTAGTAACACCATTTAGGGCTAAATTCTCTTGATGACTTGACTATTGTATTGCATGCAGCAGTTAGGTTAGTTGCCATAGTAACCTGGCCTGCACTGTTATTAGTCTCAAGTATTAGTTACAGCACTTTTTGTCAAGTCTCCTTTCTTTGTCATTCTTTTGAATATTTCACATGATGACAGGTAAATAAACATTTTGGTGACAAACACCAAAGGGAAAAGCACTTGCAGTAGGAATAATTCCTACCTGAATGTCTCAAGTTACCTAACATAATTTAACACCGCACAATTCTGCAACGCTTTCTAAGTAAAATTCATGCTTGATTCCCTGGTGTCGAGAGTTGAAATTTCCCAGCGCAAGACTGTGTTGGGAAAGATGATCAAGAATCATGGAATATGCTAGCTTTCGGAAGATTTAGGCAAGTTACTGGAACCTGCAACGTATATCAACCAAAGTGCCACTTCTATTTTCAAAACAAATACACTGCAACGTCTACTTTCCAAGTTACTAAAAAGAGACAGAAGTGCAAAAAGTCTAGAAATAGTACTAAACGTCCAGAATACATGAAAAATAAAATTAGAATGAAATAGATCCTATATAGAGATCAAGGAGACCTACCTGGGAAACTGCTGTTTCTTTGTAACAAATACATTCTCTTTACTTGACACCACTAGTTTTATTGATAAAAATCTAGAATGGTTATTACATAGTCACACCAACCCATTACAAACTGAAGTAAACTAAACATAACCAGAGAGAGTTCTTACCATCTGTTGTTTTGTCAACACATCACTGTAGATTGCTTCTCTTCGTTTAACATCAAGCTCCTGGCTGGCTTGCCTACTTAATGCTAGTGCTTGGACTTGGGCTTCTGAGAGATTCATGTTTTCTTTCCACTAAAAGAAAAAGTTTCTATTTACTTTATATTACTGAATAACTGAGGAAAAATAATTAAGGTACTTAAAGATACTCAGGATTTCATGTCCCACCCCCTTTTCCTTTATTCTTTTCTAAAGAAACCAGTGCTATAAGAAAAGAATAATCAACTGTCCATTGTTGCATACACATTGGCTATGTCTGCAGTAAAATAACTATTTGGATTTAATTTGTGTAACTAGTACATCAAAATGTGCTTACGTAAACAATGCATACATTTCTACGCATGCTGTTTCAACTCCTGTACTTTACCCATTTCATTTCTCTTTTGTGCCAACATCTATGCAAAATTGATGAATTATAGTTTGGGACAGTTAGCTAATTTACCAAGACTTGACTATTGCAAATTAAGTTATAAGGATTATTATTCCCACAGAAGAAGTGATGTGAACAAAAATCAAAACAAATCATGTGAAGCACACATAAACTAGAGGCTGAAAGAAAGTAACTCTTAGTCTGCTTACTACAGCTGAAATGATATCTTCCAGAGGCTGAATCCGCACTGCTGTCACACTGTTCGTTGCTTCCACAACTTTCTCTCTTCCTTGATTAATAAGGTCCTAGAAGGATGTAAGAAATACACAGGGCAGAAAGACAGCATAGCTTTAAAGTGTAGGGATTGTCCCTCTTGCCAATGTATAGCCATTGGTTTAAAAACTAAATAATGGAAGAAAACAGCAGAATTCAGATGCAAGAGTGTTTTTAGAAAGACAAATTTGGGGTTCACTGAACTAATTAATTTAATAATTTAAATGAATCCGTGAGTACATTTTAAAAATGAAATCATACATTCAATTAAGTTATTAAAGTACTGGAATAATAGAACCCATTATTTCCTATTAATTTATATTTGATTCTAGTCTTAAATCACTTATTTCATAATATTGGACATTATCATACGCCTAATGGTACCTGTACATTGCAGTACAATGTAAATTAAAGTGTGTATTAACCTACTTTCAAACATTAAGCAAGTACTTTGTTTATTCCAAGTATTTTATAATTGATCAAAGTGCTGCTTACCTCGTCATTCAGCTGCCCTATTGTTCCTTAATTAAAATAATTCAAGCTATATTAGTTCAAGGACTGATTCCCTTGTGCCCTGAACAAGTTCCATTTTACTATATTATGTTGGTCAAGAAGGTCAACAAATAAAGGAAAAATGTCTTGATCTATTCAGAGGTAATCTTATGGAAAATGTGATATTCCTACATAGGGAACCCTCAACAGCAAGGCACTGGAAATTGCCTTTCATTCATGTTAAACTACTTTTGTACTTTACAACTCACCTCCAGCTGTTGATTACTCATTGCTGACAGGGCTCCCAAATTGAAAGGAATATAAGGAGTCTGAGAGTTGAAAGTGACAGGGGGTAAATTGGTCCCAGTTGGTATGTTGAAACGCATGGTCAGTCCCTAAAAACAAAGCAAAAAAATATGCACTTTTTCACATTGTGATTGAAAACTTGAAATTCTACATCACCTACTGGTTTAGTAAAGAACCCACATTCTCAGATCTAGGAAATTATTAACACTCTTCCACACACAAACAAAACACCCTTTTCACCCGAAACCAAGATCTTATTACATGGAAAGGTTTAACCCCTAAAGGTGTACTTTTTTTCTGGTAATTCCCACAGAATGAGGGAACTCGGTGAATTCTGACGAGACTCCTAACATCACATTAATGTAAGAAGTATGGTACAATGAGTTAGGAGTTTAAAGAGGATTCAGGTATTAGGATAAGGTTTCCCATGCTGAGGCACACTTGTACTCAAGTGGGCTGCTGTCTAAAATAGACATGGAATTATTTCTTATAAACTTGCTGTACACTAACAATGTTCAATAACAAAATATTTTGTTTTGATACTCAGCCAAAATTTAGAGTTCGTGGTATAGAAGCTTCAGCAATTCCAAACTCCAATCTCCAACCTCGAAGCACTGGTATATTTGTGAATATCTCTAGAGAGGGTGCTGCTGAGGGTTATGTGATGCTGAAGATACAGCAAGAGCTAAGCAGAAATGGACTTACTATTCTAAATGTGAAAGGTTTTCTTTTCCCCATTTCATTACCAAATGTAGCCAAACCGTATACGCTAATCAGGGAGTCTGCACCCGAGGACCAACTATGTTAATACCATCTTCAAATATGACCCTTTCTTTCTTCATTGCTCTTTCTAATGACTATGATTAAAATAGAAACCTAAAGGCTTTATTTTGTTTTTAATTTGTTGCCTAGGCTAGTCTCCAAATGCTAAGCTCAACTAATCTTCCTATCTCAACTCTTCAAGTTGCCAAGACTACATGCACTCTACCCAGTTCTCAAAGTATTTTTTTTAGTTATTAACATGTATTTATTGTAGAAAATAACAAATTGCATTGCAACACCTCATACATGCATATAATATAATCATATTCGCCCCTATAACCTGTCTCATTAACTACCCTCCTTCTTCCCAGATTGTTCCACGAAAAAAGCATTCTGAATGAAATACCTTCTTTTCTGCTTCATATTCAGCCCAAGCTGCTTTTCTTTCTTCTTCAGTCAACTCCTCTTCTTCTTTGTGGTCCAAAAGAGAATCGTGTTCATGATATCCAACAATGTGTTCTTTATGTATTTGAAGAAGTTCCGCAAGTATGGTATCCTGTTTTGATTTATTGAACCAATTAATTTAGTATAAACCCATAATTATTTTCTCCCACTGAGTCATGTCTTCATGGTTCTAAGGTCAAATGTACAGACTAGAAATTGACTGCTTTTGCATTTTTTCAATATATATTATAAATTACCTAGAAAACAGACCTAACACCAGAATCTCATGCTTATTTAGCATGTTTAGAGATTTTTTTTTTTTTGAGACGGGGTCTTACTATGTAGTCCAGGCTGACCTTGAGCTTACGATCCTCCTACCTCAGCTTTCCAAGTGCTGGGATTACAGATGTGCATCACCATGCCCAACAAGATATAATTTTTAAAATTTACTATTTTCATGTATCGGTCTTTTCCCAATTTAGAAAATATATTTTCATATACCTTTCGTTTTGTGCTTAGTTTATACTTAGGCTTGATAAACACTAACATAAATCTGTTTAAATTTGTGATTATTGGATACCTGTGCTAAAAATCATGACTGCTCCTATTTACTCATATTCAAAAACTTTGTTTTCAATCACTTCAACCATTAACCACTACACCAACAATGAATCTAAACAAGAACAGGGCAGGTTACCTGGAACACATAATCCTTAAATTTCAACTGCAGGAAGCTCAAATATAAATCAAACGGTAAGTGCCAACATAGTCATTTCTTTATCTGAGGTATTTAAGACATGGTTTCATGTAGCCCAGGCTGGCCTCCAACTTGCTATGTAGCCAAGAATGACCTTGAACTCTTGATTCTCCTGCCTCCATTTCCCAAGTGCTATGATTATAGATATATACCACCACACCTTGCTAGCCATACAGTCAAATTTAAGCCAATATGCATTTTCATCATCTTTTTAAAAATTATGGTGTCCTAAGCTTGTTTTTATTATTTCTGCTTATGTGCATGAAGGTGTATGTGTGCCATGGCATAAGTCTGGAGATCAGAGGACAATTTGCAGTAGTCAGTTTTCTCCTTGCATTATATGGGTCCTGAGATCAAACTCAGGTCTCATCAGGCTTGGCCCAAGCACCTTTACCTACTGAGCCATCTCGCTGGCCCTAAGTCTTTTAGTATTCATTTTTATTTATTTATTTTTATATTTGATTTATTCTTTTCATTTTATGTGTATGAGTGTATTGCCTGCATGTATATAAGTGTGCCCATGTCACGCAATGCCCCTGGAAGTCAGAAGAGGCATTGTATTTTCCTGGAACTGGAGTTAAGAAAGATTGTTAGCTGCCATGTGGGTACTGGGAATTAAACCCAGGTCCTCTGTAAGAACTGGCAGTGCTCTTAATGGCTGAGCCATCTTTTCAGCCCCTATTCATTTATTTTTAAAATTCATTTTACTTTATGTATATGAGTGCTACGCTTCCATGTATGTAAGTGCACTTGTGTTGTAGGTCCCGAGGAAGACAGAAGAGGGCATCAGGTCCCTTGGAACTGGAGTTATGGACAGTTGTCAGCTGTCCTGTGGGTGCTAGGATTGGAACTTGTGTCTTCTGCATAACAGCTAGTGCTTTTAACTGTGGAGCCATCTCTCCAACCCCTCATTTTTATTTTTAATTACATCTTTGTGTGTGTGTGCCTGTTCACGGGTATGTGCACATCGAGTGCAGTGCCCGAGGAGGCCAGAGACATTGGATGCCCCCAGAACTGGAATTACAGTTATGAGCCTCCCAATGTGGGTTCTGGGTACCAAACTTAGGTCCTCTGCAAGAACAGTATTTTCTCTTAACCATTAGCCAGGTGCATGCCTTTGATCCCAGTGCTTGGGAAGCAGAGGCAGGTGGATCTCTGTGAGATTGAGGCCAGCCTGGTCTACATAGTCAGTTCTAGGCCAGCTGGGACTAACTACATGGAGACCCTGTCTCAAAAAGCCAAAAAAAAAAAAAAAACCCAAACCCCAAAACCTGACATGTGGTACATGCCTTTAATCCCAGAACAAATAAGCAAACTTGAAAATATTCACAAGGTGTTAAAAAATCAAACATGACCTGGACATATAGAAGCAAATTTGTTTTACAAATTTATTTTCTAAAGTTATTAACAAGTTCTTTTGTTTTAGAATACACTTTCTAAACTGAATTTAGTTCAGGAATTACTGATCACATGAATATATGGGGAGGTATATAACATATTAAAACTACAAATCTGTATTTATTAATGCTTAATTCATGTGTAAATTTTAGTATGACAAGGTCCACACTTGGAAAGAACTGTCTTCACATATTTAACCATAACCAGAATATACAATCTAAAAAATGGTAGGAACTTCAATGTCCATTAAACAACTCAAAATGAGAAATTCAAATCAGGAAGCCCGAAGTCTTTCCTGTACGATAGCAAACACTGAAACTAATTAAACACTTCCCTGGTATAGAAATCCACCATCAAAATCTTACTTTGCCAGCCTGTGTCCCACTGAATGAGTTTATCATCCCTAGATCAATCTCTATAGCACTTAGTAACCAGGCAGGCAGGGAGATATGCCAGTCTTCCTTAGCTCACCCACAAAAAAATGTACCTCCCATGACAACCCCCCAAGTATGACTGAACAGATATAATAAAAGACAACATAAAAATTAAACAAGCGCCATAACACTAATTTGTTTTGTTTTGTTTATTTGGGACAGGGTCTCACTGTGTAGCCCCGGCTGGCCTGGAACTCTGAGATCTGTCGGCCTTTTGCCTTCCAAGTACTAGGATCAAAGGTGTGTACCACCACACTCAGCATAACAGTAATTTTTACTTATGGATTTTTGTTCTATTTTGCTTTGTTTTTCTGAGACAGGGCCTCATGTAGCCCAGGCTGGCCTTGAAGTCCCGATGCAACTAAAATTGGCTTTGAATTCCTAAACTTCTTGTCTCCACTTCACAGGTACGAGGATTATAGACATGTACTATACCCAGAATTTGGGTGTGTGTGTACAGAGTTCTCTATGTAGCCCAGGCTGTCCTCAAACTTATATTCTTCCTACCTCAGTTTCTCTGATGCTGGTATTATAGGCATGCATCACCACACCCAGCCTCTAATGTTCTCACATGTAACCACATCAAATACAATTAGAAAAATTAGTTATGTAATACGCCAAATGAATCATGAGGCTCAAATGCTCTATAGATACTATCTATTTCACTTCTGTCTGGCAATAACTGATGATCCTAACTATATTCACTATCAGTTCATTTCTCTGACAAAGTTACCTAGTCCAAGGTCCAAGAGAACTACATGCTGAGTTTCTGGCTACACTACTGACTCATTCTCTGTTACATTGGATAATAACTTTGCCTGACTTTGAACGTAAGTCAAATATGGATGAAATACTATTTGCTCACAGGCATAACAAGATGTTATGAGAATAACCAAATAAATTAAAGCACCCAATTCTTTAAAAGTAAACACTATGTCAATTGAGTATAATGTTTATTTCTCAACTACAAACACAATTCAGACTTTAGTTGTTTACTGAGGGAGAAGCCTTTCCAGAAACGTATGTACACACACACACACACACACACACAGTTAAAATGTCTGAGGCATCAGGGAGTTTTACCAGGTCAGTCCTTGGCATCCTGTAATTTCAAAGCCCAAATTTACCAACTTGAGATTAGTAGAAATTGAGGCCCAGAGAGGCAAAGTAACTTTTCCAATTATACAAGGGACTAGTTGAGACTAGCAACTAAATTTCCTGCTTTCTCTCCAATGATTATTATTCTATCACATTACAAAGAACGCTTGTTTTCACGAGTTCTTCCATTTCCTAGACCTACTCGTTTTTATGGTTCCTCCATTTTGTAGATCTACTTTAAAAATTATTTATTTTTATTTTATGTATATGAGTGTCTGGCTGGCATGTGTTTAAGTGCACCCACACATGCAATGACAGTGGAGGCCAGAAGAGGGCATCAGCTCCCTGGAACTGCAGTTAGAGTAGCTGCCATGTGGGTGCTGGGAACTGAACCCCTGTTCTCTGCAAGAGTAATCAGTGCTTTTAACTGTGAGCCACCTCTCCAGCCCCTAGATCTACTTTTTACAATTAAAATAAAATGACTAGGCATGGTGGAACCCACCTTTAATCCCAGCACCCAGGAGGCAGAGCAAACAAATCTCTGGGAGTTCAAAGCCAGCTTGGCCTATATAGTGGGTTCCAGGCCAGCCAGGGCTACATAGTGAGACCTTGTCTCAAACAAACAAACAAACAAACAAACAAACAAATGATAATCCTTTGTAGGATTCTGGATGAGGAAGAAATGAAACGTAAGTCTTTCATTTTTCATTTACTTTTAACACTTTTTTTCCTTAACAAGCACATGTTAATTTAACGTAAGAATATATGAAAGCCAAAATAAATATCTACCAAAGCTGACATGTATTATTTTATCATTTTCATTCCAGATTCAAGATTTATTCTATCAACATGAAATATGATCACCTAAATTAAGTCAGGTAATGGTGATGATTTAGCCTCTGCCCAGGCAATAATATTCCTTTAGATTTGCAGCCAACTGAAATTATCAGTAAGTCACAGGAAAAGTTCATGTGACTTTGATTTCTATCATTAATGCATTTTGGACAATTAGTAAAATTACTTCCCTCCTTCGGTCAAACAAAAACCAACACCAAACAAAAATAAAAACCAGACTCTTCACATTGCCTGTACTGGCTATGACACTCTCTCTTTTCAAAGAGCATAAATTAATGAAAACAATACTAATATCTAACTACACAAGCTAGCAATCACTATCAGCAACATTTGTTATGTATTCCTCCACAAATTTATACATGTAGCTTTGCATAAGATGGGAATGAATGTATGACATTTAGTTCTGGAACCTCCTTTTCTCCCTTGATAGTTTTTCACGTATATTATTTTCCACCAAATATAAAACTTTCATCATTTCCAATAGGTATCTATATAATGGTTTACATTATATAGATTCACTTCATCTATTTATATTCATTCCCTTACTGAGTTTTTGTGAAGACATTAAGA